ACTCCAGTCTGGGCGACAGAGTGAGACTCCAACTCAAAAAAAAAAAAAGAATTAATAGTAGGGATCATCTTTTTAGATAATTAAATTGGATCAGATATTTGATATTTTAAAACAATTAAAATAAAATATATCTTTTCCCCCCCAGAATTTCTCAGCTCTTGTCCTTTGCCACAACTCTCTGTTCCCAAGAATCTTCTACTCTTGGCCTTCCAGATTTTCCTTTAGATAGTTTACCAGCTGCAGTTCAAATCCTGGTATGTATAAAATAAATTAATGACTGATATACCCAAATGTGGTAAAAAAAAAAAAAAAAATTGAAAGTTAATCATTGGGAATTAATCACCTCAATTTGTTGTGTCATATTCTTCTATAAATATTGTAAGGCCTGAGATTAATTTGTTGTGCAGTGCAGTAAACTGTACAGAGACCAAGGACATGTTCTGAGCCCCTAAAGAGCTTGAAGCTTTGGAGTAGGAGGTAAACATGCATTCTCAGTAAAATTTCACAGAGGGAAGGAAAACTTTAGCCTGATCAAGTCAGGGGTGTTCTTCGGTGTGAATTAGGCCTCAGAGCTGTCCCTGCCTGAATCAGGGGAGCTGGGGTTTCGTGCTGCTCTAGCACCCATCAGTCATTAGGTCATGATCATCTCAGGGAACATGGCTCTAGGAGTCTAAAGGCTGTTTTTATAAAAAGACCTGTGATAACTGGTTGTTGGAAGGCAAAGCTGGGAGGCACACGGAAAGAATACAAACAGATCTGAGAGAATTTGGTAGAGTACAGACATTGTCCACCACAGTTTCACAAAGGGGATGACAGTCATATTTGGACCAATGGAAAGATCTTCCAGGCACAGGACAAAGCACAAACAATGGTGTTCAATCACCAAAGGGGCTAGTATGTTTGGAGAATTAGAACACGCTGTATCTTTAGAGCAAATGTATGTGATGGAGAGAGAGAGAGGTTAGAAGCCTATGGTGAATGAAGGTACCTGGATTTTAGGATGAGGAAGATGTGGCCCATCGGATGTGGAGTGGGTGGTGTGTGAGAGGATCAGATTTATGGTTGAGGAAGGCATCATTGTTAGCAGTGAGGCCTAGGGAGAACCTGGCTGCGTAGCGAATTAATAGGAAGATTTTATATCAGTCAGTGAGACCCTGAGGAGGGAACCTTTCAAGGTGGTGGGGATACTGTCTTAAGCATGAGACTCCTATTTTTAAACTTGTATGTATGTACGTATATATGGATGGATGTTCTTCTGAGTCAGAGAGTTAGGCATTGTTTACATTGTTCTATACATCAAGAATAGCATTTATCCTTTTCTTTATAAAATCTTATACTTTTCATTTTTTTCTTTCTATGTAAGTGGATAATAAAATTCTTTTTAAAATTTAATTTTAAAATTGTGGGGTACAAGTCAGGATTGTGTACATAAGTGGCTTAGGTGCAGGTGAAATTTTGGGTCATTCTTTTCATTTTTGCTTAGAACTTTTTACTTTGAAAATTCTCAAACTTAAAAAAAGTTGAAAAGTAATAACACACCCATAATCTTTTCACTTAGAGTTACTTATTTTTAGTATATTGCCACATTTGCTTGCATGTGCTCTCTTTTTTTTTCTGAACCATTTGAAAGTAAATTGCATTCAGAAGTCTTAAATATTTCAGTATGCAACTTCTAAGAATTAGGAGATTGTTTTACATAACAAGAACACTGTTATCACACTCCATACCATAGTAGTAGTAATTCTATAATATCATCTAACAGATAGTTTATATTGAAATATCCCCAATTGTCTCTGTCAATAGACTTTTTAAAAAGTGCGTGAACAGAACTGAGAATGTCATTGAGGGGGAGGATTTGGGGATATTGAAGACTTTCTAACTTTGCAGTTATAACTTTGAAGCTAAGTGAATGCAAATCAGCTGAACTCAAATTAGGTATAAAGGAGGATGAGGTACTTTGGGATGAGTAGGGTAGAGAAATGTGTTTTCAAATGGGGGTCTGTGAGAGTCATACAGTCACATGAAATAAACAATCGAGAGTTCAGGTCTAGAGCTCAAGAAAGAGGCCAGGACTAGACAGAGACATTTAGGAGTCATCAATACATAGATAGATGAAAGATAGGAATGGGAAAGTTTATCCTGGGAAAGGGAAACGCATAAGCAGAGAAGGGGAAATAGTGACTATTTGCTTTTGTGAACTTCCAGAAAATACCAGAGACCTATTGGTTATTTTTATAAGCAATTTTAATATCATGTGTACATGTCAGATACATTTCCTGTGCTTATTTTAGATGTTGCTCATTCCTATTATATTTTTGCTCCTTAATAGGATTCCTTTCCTATGATGTCAATAAAGCATCCAATCCAGTGGCTTTATCCATACACTATTTTACTAGGACATGAAGGCAAGATGGCTGTAGAAGGTGTTTTAAAAGTGAGTATCTGTTTCCCTTTCTTTCCTTTATTTTCCCATTTTCCCTTCTCTTGCCTTTCCTTCTCATCTCTCTCTCTCTCTTTCTCCCTTCCTCTTTGCTCCTATTTTTCTCTTACCATCTTTCTTCCTTCTTCTTGCCTTTCCTTCTCTTTTTTCCTATGTATGGAGGCATTGGCATGCCAGTAATAAGAAAGCAGTGATCGGCAGCAAGCATGGGGGCGTCTGGTGTGGTTGGGAAATTGATTACATTGAGCAAATGCAATACACCTATTGAGATGCTTTTTTCTCTTCTCAAAATAGTTTTTGAACTCGTCAATTGTGATGCATTTTAGTGTTTCTGCCAATTTTTGTTTCACCTCTTTCACATTGGCAAAATGTTCCTTTCGAGGAGGACTTTTTTCATCTGGGGAAACAAAAAAAAAGTTGCTTGGGGCATGGGGATCAAGCTATTTTTGGTCAAAAACTGCTAAACCCTCAGGACTGTGTGGGTAGGTGCATTGTCATGGTGGAAGAACCAGTCACCTGTTTGCCACGATGCAGGACATTTCTGCAAATTATAATGCAACCTTCTCAATACTTACAGATAAAAACTTCGGTTGACCATTTGATCCGGAAGAACAGATTCCAAGTACCCAATCCCTCTCACATCACAGAAACAAATGATCATTATTTTCACATTTGACCTTACTTGTTGTGCTTTTTTGGCTCATGGGGAAGTGACAGTTTTCTTTTTTAAAATTTAACTTTTTTATTTTATTTTAAAGATATGGGGTACGAGTCAGGATTGGGTACATAAGTGGTTTACGTACAGGTGAAGGTTGGCCTCCCATTGGACCTCACTTAGCCTGGATTAGGATCAGGCACCCTTATTGATGTTACGTGTTCCCCCCTTCCCTTCCCTGGTAGTGTCCCACTACTGCCAATTCCTTTCTTGTAGTATTATGCTAGATGTTCAAAGTCCACTTATGAGTGAGAACATATGGTACTCAGTTCTTTGTTTCTGTGAGAGATCACTGAATATGATTGACTCTTTTTCCATTGACTAGATTGCTATTTCATTTTGGGTTGTAAATGTAGCACCAAAATTCATCTCCAGTTATGACTCCAGAGGTTATAACAGGGTCAGTCTCCAACTGTTTCTTCAAAGCATGGCACACAGCCAAGTGATTGTTTGTTCAGGCATGAGCAAGTAAGGCACACATTTTGCTGAAACTTGTTTAATGCCCAAGTTTTCAGATAAAATTAGCGGACAGGAACTCCACGACATCATGTCACCTCCACAAGTTTATCAGTAGTCCAATGGTGGTTTTCCAAGATGCCTTGACAAATTCTTACCATGTTTTCTTCAGTTTGGCTGGTTGAAGGATGCCCGCAACGAGGTTGATCATCAGTTGGCATTTCACCTCGTTTAAAATGCCGAAAAACATCTGTAAACTTGTTTTATTCAGAGGAGCATCTTTGTAAGTTGTCTGTAACATAACAACTGTTTGCCACATTTTTTTCCAACAGAAAGCAAATTTCACTGCCACATGTTGTTTGTGTAACTCTCCCATCATGAAGTGGGTAAACACTGAAAGAATCTAAAAAAAAATTTAAAGGCCTCTCACAGCAATGCTAGCTGGTACACTGATGCTGGTGGGTTACTAAAACATTTACCTAGCAGGGGAAGCCTGTACTACAAGGGGCCTGTCCACTAAAAGATAATTCTGGTTTTTGGGGTTCCCTCTATGTACTGTATCTAAGAACAAATAGATACAGTAATAGATATAGATAGTGTGTGTATGTGCATACATATTTCTAGCTGTTCCCTGAGAGAGTCCAAAAACTATGACACCCCAGTAGCAATGAGCACACCAAGTGCCTGGATATAAGTTTTGAAATACCATGCTCTCCTGAAAGAAATCAGGACTCACTGGAAGTAAGTCTGACTCAAGGGTTGGGATAGGGAATTTACAAGATGACAAAGCTTCTAGCTTGAAGTGGCTGAAATCTGGGACAATTTGAGAATAAAAATAAATAATGATGGCAGTTGATTATAATCCATTGCACAAAATGCGAACTTATGAGTCCACACTGATATAAACAAATAGAAAAATACAAGGAGAAGGAACATCTCTTTCTTAGTGTAGAATGCTTACTAACAAATGTAGAAAGAATTATATAAATGGAAAAATTACCATTTGGGAACCATCAGAGTGGTGGTTGATTTAGACAATAGTCATCAAAGGATGTTAAAGCTGGTAGGTGGAGCTTCTATAAGGAACATGTTATTAGCATAATTTCTGAATGTCTCCTCCCAAAATACTCAATCGACTATAAAACAGGAAAGTGGTATTTTTACAGTAATCCACTAGACCAAGTGGGACAGATTGCCGTTGAATGCCTCTCAAGTCTTGTGCTGAGAAGAAGAACATCATTTCTGGCCGGGCTCGGTGGCTCAGCCTGTAATCCCACGCCTTTGGGAGGCTGAGGTTAGTGGATTGCCTGAGCCCATGGGTTCGAGATCCGCCTGGGCAGGCGAGACCACATCTCTACAATAAATCAAAAAAATTAGCCGGGCGTGGTAGCGCGTGCCCGTAATTCCGGCTACTCGGAAGGCTGAGGCGGAAGGATCACCGGAGCCAGCAGGTTGAGGCTGCGGTGGCTGGGAGCGGCCACTGCACTCCAGTCTGGGTGACAGAGTGAGACTCCAACTCAAAAAAAAAAATAAAAACATCATTTCTGGGAAATTTCTGATAGGAGTTGATGATGTGAGTTTGACCATGAGGACATATCATATAATCCTAGATTGAGGGCCTTTGTACATAACAAAAGGCCTATATTTTTTAAAACTGTTCAGGCCATGAAAGATAGGAAAAAACTGAAGAAATGTTCCAAGTTGATGGAGACTGAAGAGATATGATAGCCAAATGCACCATATGTTCCTGTTTTGGATTCTGGACCAGATAGAAACAAGTGATATCGTTGACACAGTTGATAGTTTTTAAATAGAGTCTGTGGATTGGATAGTAGTATTGTATTAAAAAGTCATTTCCTGATTTGGAGGCTTATGGGGTGATTACATTGACCAGAGTAACGTTTTCAGGAAATATGAACAGGAATGTTAGGGATATAGGAGAATCATATCTGTAGCTTGCTTTCAAACTGTTTATAAAAAGACCAATGTTAAAGTGGAGTGAGGGAAGGTGGGGAAATAGGAGGAAGAGAAAAACATGCCAAAATGCTAACCATTGGGGAATCTGGGTGAAGGCAAAATAGAAGTTCTTTGTACAAGAGTATCCTGCAACTTTTGTATAAGTTTGAAATTATTTCATAATAAAAAAGTAAAAAGTGAATATTCAATATAGCTCATATATAACATATACATATACATGTGTTTTTTTTATTTTTTATTTTTTTTAGTTGGAGTCTCACTCTCTTGCCCAGGCTGTAGTGCAGTGGCATGATCACAACCTATCATAGCCTCGTCCTCCAGGGCTCAAGAGATCCTTCTGCCTCAGCCAAGTAGCTGGGACTACAGGCATGCACCACCATGCCTGACTTATTTTTGTAGATATGAGGTCTTGCCATGTTGCCCAGGCTGGTCTTGAACTCCTGGGCTCAGACAATCCTCTTGCTTTGGCCTCCCAAAGTGCTGGGATTACAGGCGTGAGCCACCATGGTTGGCCAAAAAAAAAAATTTTTTTTTAAAGTAAATATGCAGTATAACCCTTGCATTTGTTTATAACTTAATCATTAACTTGAAAAGCAAGTATTTTATATAAAACTATGGAAATTGCTATAGCACTATCATTTGAACTAATGAAGTTTTCATTTTTTAAAATCATACGTGGTTATAATACATAGGGCATGGTTCTCTTTCAAAATATGGGTGGTATAATTCTCTCACATATAGTTAACAGTGGTGTTTTCCAAAAGACCAATCACACTATAAGTGTCTATTTACTTAATTATTATTATATATTAAATTATTGACCCTTGACAGAGATGTATTGACTTACTCAAATTAATTTCTTCTTATGGAAGACGGTTTTTGTCTTTTGCAGTTTGGCTCAAGAGGCAGATTCCTAAGAAACAGGTAGAACGTGGACATCAAGCCGTGTAACTTTATACAGAGAGCCTTCATTTCCTGAAAGCCTAGATTTGACAGCCTCAAGCACATGGAATAGTATTTGTTTCTTCCTTATCCTCGAATCTACATAGAAGCATCTTCAATGTATCTGTTAATAGTGAGAACACAGAAGAGTGGAACTTTAGCTTCTAGTTACTTTAGCAGGATTTTTTTCAAATCAGCTAGTCAAAGAACCCAAAGAAACAATATATTTATTCACTGGTGATGTCAATAACAATAATAACAAAAGTAATATAAAGTTCCTCATATAAAGCTTCTCATAATGAGAAGTATAGTTAGGGACAGAATCTAAAAGAAAAGCATAGAGAAGCAAGTATCACTAATAAAGAGGGAAAGGAAAGTAAAAAACACAGCAGCATAGAATAGCAGTGAACCAGCAACCACTGATGAAAGAGAAGAAAAAGATCTGCTCTGTGCATGCGTGCATGTGTGTGTGTGTGTGTGTGTGTGTGTGAGAGAGAGAGAGAGGGAGGAAGAGGAAGAGGTGGAAGAGGAGGCACAGCTGCAGGAAGAAGAAGAGGAGGCGGAGGAGAGAGGATATTAAGAACCATTTGGAGATGGGGATATTAACTATAGGCTCAAGGAGTCAGGAAACTGCCATCTTCTGACAATCTTGTTCACTTTAAGGTTTATTCCAGGTGCTGGGAAAAAAGAGAACTGGAATTTATCTTTCACTTAATTAACATCTAACCTAATTGGCATTGATATAGAGCAACTAGTGATTAAGATAAAAGGCTGTGATTCCAGATGAACTTCCTTAATATCCTCAGCACGATGCCCAGTACCTTAGAAACATGGGTGCATACTCAGGGAATAAGAAAATGTTATGGAAAAATCTGACAAAATGGAGCAATGTATAAAGGTTTGA